CACATACATGCATACACGCATAGACACATACACATATACACATACATGCGCACATACATGCATACTCACATACATACACGCATACAAACATGCATACACGTTTCCATACATGCATGCGTAATTGCACACGCACATGCATACATACATACGAAAGAGCGTGTTCTACCGCTGCTGGCGGAAAACCGGGGGGGGTCACTACCGGTTCGAACCCCTCCCCCCCCCCCTCCGGAAAACCGGGGGGGGTCACTACCGGTTCGAACCCCTCCCCCCCCCAGCTCATCATGAAAAGGGGGGGGGGTCACTACCGGTTCGAACCCCTCCCCCCCCTCCCCCTCGAAAACCGGGGGGGGTCACTACCGGTTCGACCCCCCCCCCCCTCGAAAACCGAGTGGGGGTGCGGACAGTGGTGGGGACGGTGTTGGTGGGGACAGTGGTGAGGGGATAGCGGGACAGTGGTGGGGACAGTGGGACAGTGGGACAGTGGTGGGGACGGTAGTGGTGGGGACAGTGGTGGGGACAATGGTGGGAACAGGGGGGGACAGTGGACAGTGGTGGTGACGGTGGTGGTGGGGACAGTGGTGTGGGGACAATGGGAATGAGGTGGAAACAGTGGGACAGTGGAGGGTACAATGGTGGTGGGGACAGTGGTGAAGGCGGTGGCGAGGACGGCGGTGGGACAATGGGACAGAGGTACAGTGGGGACAGTGGTGGGGACAGTGGGGACAGTGGTGGGAACAGTGGGACAGCTCAGTGGGACAGCGGAGGAGTCAGTGGGACAGTGGGGATAGTGGGGATAGTCGGGCAGTGGTTGGGGCCGTGGAGACAGTGGGGAGAGTGGAACCGTGGTGGGAACAGTTCTGGGGACAGCGGGGACAGTGCGACAGTGGTGGGGCCACTGGTGGGGACAGTAGGGGCGGTGGTGGAACCAGTGGGGACAGCGGTGGTGAGGACAGTGGTGCTGGGAACACCAGTGGGGGATGTGATGCGGACGGTGGTGGGGACCGGGAGTCGTTTGCTGGCGGTGAGTAGGGGGGGGGGGGGGGGGGGGGGGGGTTCGAACCGGTAGTGACCCCCCCCGGTTTTCCGGATCCGGAGGGGGGGGGGGGGGGGAGGGGTTCGAACCGGTAGTGGCCCCCCCGGTTTTCGAGCGGGAGGGGGGGGGGGGGGGGGGGGAGGGGTTAGGGGAGGGGGGGGTTTTGCCGGGGGAGGGGGGGGGGGGGGGGGGGGGGTCCAGCAGGGGGGGGGGGGGGATTTTCGGAGGGGGGGGGGGGGGCGACCCCCGGGTTCCGGAGGAAAAGGTTGGCAATTTTCCACAGTAAAGCGGCGGTGGATCACGCTCTCTCATACATACATACGTACATACATACACACAGACACACATACACCCATACATGCATACTTCCATGCATACATACATACATACGCATACACTTACATACATACAAACAGACACGAATCCATACACACATGCATACACACGCATACAGACATACAAACATACATACAGACATACCTGCATACTTACATACATACATACATACGCACATACACACATACATACACATACATAGATACGTGCATATTTACATGCATAAGTGCATACAACCGTACACACATACACACATACACACATGCATGCATGCATACCTACATACATGCATACAACTATGCATACTGTTGTACGAATTGCACAAACATGCCTACATACGTTCATGCATGCCGACATACGTCCATACATGCGTTTGTAATACATGAATGCATCTATTCATACACATATACTTCCATGTATACACGCATACAGCCGTCCATCCCTACATGTATACATTTGTATACGCGTATCTACGGACGTGCTTACGTGCACACGTACACGCATACATACACACCCATACATACATACACACCCATACAAACATACATACACACATACATACATGCATGCATGCATGCATGCATGCATACATGCATGAAATACATACATACATACATACATACATACATACATACATTCATACATACATACATACATACATACATACACACATACATACATACATACATACATGCATGCACTCCTACACACTTTCATGCAACCGTACATATACGTGTGTGTATGGCTCATGGTATATATGTCTACATGTGTACATACATATGTATATAGCGCTTGTTCGCGGCCAGCTTATGACAACCAACACTTCCCCCCCACACACGCTGTCATGTCCACTCGAATCCGGAGCGCACCGTAGAGGACGGGAGGGGCAATCAGCATCAGTCCCTGAAGTGGCGCGCGGAGGAGGAGGAAGAGGAGGAGGGGGAGGCGGAGGCGGAGGAGGAGGAGGCGGAGGAGGTGGAGGAGGCGGATGAGGCGGAGGAGGCGGGGGAAGCGGAGGAGGATGAGGAAAAGGCGGAGGATGAGGAGGAGGTGGAGGAGGAGGAGGAGGCGGAGGAGGAGGCGGAGGAGGAGGAGGAGGTCGCGCGCGCAGCGATGGAATGGGCAAGGACCGTTTCAACTCAGGGGCGGGACGGGGTGGCGCAATACGGCCCCTTCCGCCACCTGTTCGCCCGACCCACTGGGGGCGGGGAAGGGAAGCAAAGGGAGAGAGGGGCGAGGCAGCCACGCGAGGAGGTCCATCCAGGCCTGTCACCCTCGCTCCTCCTCCTCGCGAGGCGCCCTCTCAGACTCTCCCCCTGGGCAGGGCTCGCGGATAAGAGCAGGCGGTGGAGGGAGGGGTCGCTTCCCACGGCGCCACCTGAACGCGGTGCCTCGCCCCTCGAGGGCGACGTGCCGCCTCGCAGTTGGCCGCGATCCTGGCCTGCTTGGCGGAGGTGGGGAAGAGGGTCGTGACGAGCGGGGGGAGGAGAAGCATGGGGGAGGGGAGGGGACCAGCGGCCGGGATGCGGCCTGCTCCTTGAGGGAGGCGAGCAGCACATCGGTTATTCTCTGCTCCTCGGGATCGCCCGTAGTACCTGGGGTATCCGAGGCGGCGGGTGGGAGGGGCATATCGAGGGAGGCGCGCGGGGTCGGCTTCCGCAGGGACGACGAGCAGTGGGACAAGAAGTGGCGCTGGATCTACAGCGTGCAGCTCCGCAGCGTTCCCTGGCGCCTCCGCGGCCGAACCCCCTGTCCTCCTCTGCATCTGCTCGCCGCTTGCTCTGCGCCTCCTCGTCGTCCTTTCATCGTCCCCCTCTTCGTCCATGTCCTTCCTCCTCCTCCTCCTCCTCCTCAGCCTTCTCGTTTCTCCCCTCCTCCTTGTCCTTGTCGTCGTCCTCGGCCTTCTCCTCGTTCTCGTCGTTGTCCTCGTCCTCGTCGTCCTCGTCCTCGTCCTTGTCCTCGTCGTCCTCGTCCTCGTCGTCCTCGTCGTCCTCGTCGTCGTCGTCGTCGTCGTCGTCGTCGTCGCCGTCGCCGTCGCCGTCGTCGTCGTCGTCGTCGTCGTCGTCGTCGTCGTCGTCGTCGTCGTCGTCGTCCTGTTCCTCGTCGTCGTCGTTCTCGGCCTCGTCCTCTTTCTCATGCTTTGCCTTCTGCTTTGCCTCGTGCGTGGCCTTCTGCTTTACCTCCTGCTTTGCCTCCTGCTTTGTCTGCTACTGCTGCTCCTTCTCCTTCTCCTCCTCATCATCTCGTTCTTCTCCTAGTCCTCTTCCTCGTCTTTGTCGTCCTGTCTCTCCTCGTCCTCCTCCCTGCCCCCTCCTCCCTCCTCCTGCCTCCCCTCCGTCTCCTCCCTCCCCCCTCCCTCCCTCCCTCCCCCTCCTCACCCCTCCTTCGTCGTCGCCCATGGGGCCCACGCCTGCGGCCCCTCGCCAATCCCGTCCAGCCAGTGCCACCCGCCGAGGGATTGGCTCTACAGGTCCTCCTGGGCTCAGTCGAGAGGCGCGCGCCACCGCCCACGAGGGGGGAGGTTCGACGATCGATGAGCAAGGCTTTCGGAAGGTGAGGTTCTTTCTGGTCCTCCAGTGGCCTCTGGGGGCTCCTGGAGACCACCTCCTGGGGACGAGGAGGCGGCGGTGGAGGGGGATCGGACGCAGCAGAAAAGGACAAGCAAAGAGCGGGCAGGGGAATGGACGTCGGAACGCTGCACCAGACTGGTGAGGAAAGGCTGCGTCTCTGGAACAAGCCGACTGCAAGTGAGTCTTCGGCGTGCCAGCCTGCAGGTGATGACTTTCAGGCGTGTCTGGGGCAGAGCAGGATCCGTCAAGGTAGCCATTAGCTTCGCCGACGGTTGGGGCGCAGCTCTAAGCACACATCAGCGCAGGACGAATCTTTTCTACGGGGCTAGGAGGCAATCTGGGGACAACCATGGGGCAACCGCGGGGCAACCACGAGACAACCACGGAACAAAACCGGGACAACCACGGGACACATTGATGACAACGACGGGACACTCGCGGGTCATTCACGGGCCAGCCACAGGACAACCACGGGACCAACCACAGGACCAACCACAGGCCACACAAGGGACAGCCATTGGACAGCCACTGGACAGCCAGGAGACAGCGACGGGACAACCGCGGGACAATCGCGGGACAGCCCTGCGCCCGATGCGGACTGCGGGGTGCCCGACTCGTTTTGGCGTGACCTGGGCCTGACTTGTGCAGGAGCTCGCGCTGCCTTGCCTCGCCCGCCCGCGCGTCACGCACGATACGGACCGAAATCAATATGCGGGGCTCCATTTCATTTCGGTCCCGCAACCTCCAAGCGAGAGAGCGAGAGAGCCAGACCCCAGGCGCTGTCATTTTTCACAACGTGCCCCCCGCCCCAGAGGTCAGAATACCTTCTCCGGGGCCAGGTTTTCATCCCGAGTCGTATTTTGAAGGTCCCCCCGAGAGGCCGATAATATTCGCCAAGCGCTTTCCGCCTTGATCGCCAAGCGAGTGGGTCTGGGGAGGAAGCGAGTGGGTCTGGGGAGGGGGGGAGAGATACATATATATATATATATATAAATACAGATATAGAGATCGAGGGATAGAGCGATATGTGTGTATATACATACACATCTATGTATGTTGACATACATGGGTAATATATATATATATATATATCTATATATATATAATATATATATATCTATGTGGAGAGAGAGAGAGAGGGAGATCAGAGAGAGAGAGAGAGAGATAGAGGGAGAGAGGGAGCGAGAAAGAGAGAGAGAGAGAGAGAGAGGCATGGGAGCGGACGCGTGGCGTCCACTTCCCAGGTACAGCGTGTACGGCAACCACGACTACCACCAGGACCTCGGGGCGAACTGGCGGTGCTTGGCTTCTCCCTCCCTTGCTGCTGCTGTTCCAGGGGAGGGGCCACAGGGGGGGGGGGAGCGGGCGAACCAGGAACCACGCACCACGACAATGATGGCTCCGAGTTCGAGAACGCAGCTGTGCAATCCAGTCTACGCGTAGACAGGATGTCCGCAGTCAAAAAAGTGGATCTCGAGGTTGCTTGGTGGAAAGGGCTGGAAGCGTTTCCACTCCACCTCGCGATCTCGCGCGATAGACTCTACACTCTTCTAGGGCGGTCTCTTACCAGAGCGCTAGATTTGGGTTCCCCCAGCTTTGCCACCTTTAGGGCGGCATCACATTTCGTTTGTTGGTTTGTTCCTCCTGCCTCAGGATTGCCGCAGCGCAAACCTTCCAGGCCTTCCTGCGTACCTTCGCGCCCACACTCGTTCAGGCCTCAGCCTCGACCCCATGATACATCGTTCGCGGACTTCTTCGCTCGTGCATGCGGATGAAATAAGTGTATAGTCACCTCGCACGCGACAATTCTCTCGCTGGTTCGCACGAACGCAGAATCAGTAGTGGTATCGCTCCATGGTGTACTACCTAACGTCGATCATTCGCCCCCGTTCCCCATACCGGCACGCTCTTGTAGGGCATGCTATTTTGACTAGATGCTTACTCACATAAGTTGTCCGCGCTCGTCGATCTGAATTTCAAACAGTTTTGCTGGAACATGTGCTGGCAATGACCTCCGAGTATCGCCGATCATCATCTCCGACAGACTCTGAAACGCGCGTCGAACTACGCGCCTTTGTCGCTGACGTCGTCGACGTCGCCGTCGCTGCCAACACCGCCGTCTCCTCGCCGTCACCGTCACCGCTCGCCGTCGTTGGCCTTGCCGTCGCCGCCAAGGCCGCCGCCGCCGCCGTCGCCGTCGCCGTCGCCGTCGTTATCCTCTTTGTCGTCTTTGTCGTCGTTGTCGTCGTTGTCGTCGTCGTCGTCGTCGTCGTCGTCGACGTCGTCGTCGTCGTCGTTGTCGTCGCGTGCACGCTCGGGCGCGCCACACCGTCGGCTGAGGACCCCTGCGCTTGCTCCAACGACTTGGCGGACTGCGCGCAGGCGAACTGCTGGGGAGGAGGAGGAGGAGGAGGAGCCGGAGGAGGAGGAGGAGGAGGAGGAGGAGGAGGAGGAGGAGGAGGAGGAGGAGGAGAAGGCGAGGAGGAGGAGGAGGAGGAGGAGGAGGAGGAGGAGGAGGGAGGAGGGTGAGGGCGAGGAGGCGGACGAGCAGGAAGGATGGATGAGGAAGATGTCAGAACGGTATGTAGGTGCCCTCGTGGCGGATTTGCAGCACTCAAGGCAAAGAACTCGCACGGACCCGAGGACACTCATACTCAGTGCGCTGGACACGACCTTGGACTATGATGGTGATGAGGATGCTGATGGTAATGAGGAGGAAGACGGAGGGATGACCAGCTGGAGGGTGAGGACGGATAGCGAGGAATATGAGTGGCAGAAGAGCGATGTCCAAGATAAGTACCTGCACACAGGTGAACTACGAGGAGGATAACCTCGAATATTTCCAGATGCCTGGCACCAGCTACTTCAAGGAGTTTCCAGGGATGGGCATCGAGGCCTGCTGCGCATGCTGGGCCGGAGTGGGCCGGGGGCACGAAGAGGCACAAGAGGGAAAGGAGGAGAACGGGGAGGAGGAGGAGGGGGGAGGAGGAGGAGGGGAAGGAGGTGGAGGGGGAGGAGGAGGTGGAGGGGGAGGATGAGGATGGGGAGGAGGAGGAGGGGGACGGGAGGGGAGGGAGGAGGAGGGGGAGGAGGATGGGGAGGGGAGGGAGGAGGAGGATGAGCGGGCACAGGAGGGGAAGGAGGAAGAAGGGGAGAAGGAGGAGGAGAATAGTCGGTCCTGGTCCGTGGCCGTTTTGGCTCGAATCTGTAGCCACGTGGCTCAGCAGCAGCATCTGTGTGAAAGCAGCAGCCTCTCCTGACGGTGCTTGTTCGATCCTGCATGCGTGCGCACATGCTTCCGTTAGCTTCGCGCCCGACGGCGCTCAGTAATGACACGGCGCTGGTACTGCGCTAAATCTGGTTTTCTAGTGTTCGCGCTGGCACGCAGAAAGGATGCCGCCGGCGAGTAAGGAGAACATAACGCGAACGTATTGGTAGTGTAAGCGCTCTAGCTGTAGCCAGGGGCAGAAAGCTGGTAGTAAATATCGCAACTTCGAGTCTCACTTGCGGCGTTGTCTCTGCGAGCAGGCAGAGTAGTTGGTCGATTAGAGCAATTGCGTTCGTGATTAACCCTCTGGTCCTCGTAAGTACTCCGCTGGACCACCACATGGGAAGTGGATGCCGCCAAGCGTGAACATCAGTAAGAGAAGCAGGAGCAAGTCTATCTGCGCGGCTAACGTGAACAGTGTGGTCCTGATGCAACCGAAAGCGGATGTCGAAGATCAAACGTTTCGCGATATTGTTTCAATGTGTAATTATTCTCCAATGGCGCAGCGGCGCCTTACCATCTTGTAGATACGTGAAGCTTCTAATATGTTGCATCGTAAGGTGGTGTTCGTCCGGACATGCGGGCCACGCGTGCGCGTGTCCACACAAGCGCGCGTGCCGAACACAACCAGCACCATTGGATGTTGAACATTGAGTTCGTTGCAATTGTGATTCGATGTTCCTGTGCATGCCTTTCTCTTGGATGGTGGACCGTGTTTTCACCAATCAGCTCCGCAGAGACCGCCTACAATCATTTTCCTACGGCAGCGTTTGGCTGCCCCTATCGGGTAACGTGTGACGTTGGCAACAGTTGCGCTCACTTGACAGTGGGTTGGAGGAAGTCTCCCGTTTTCGGGCGAGCTCTCAGAATCGATTGTTGGTAGGACAAGGAAAAGAATCATAGGGGGGAGCATGAGCAAGAGGGGTAGCACGACAGGAATGATAATGGTGACAATGAGAAAGAGGATGGTACAATGGAGTGAGATACGGATGCGCGGGATAATTGTGACTGGGAATGATGGGCAGGTGAATGAGGAGGAGGAGGATGAAGATACTTTGAATCATGGAGGTGATGACGAGGTGGCTAAGGATGATGCTGATAGCGATGGGAAGGAGGAGGTTATCACGGAGGATGAGGGGGCGGCGATGATATATGGGTGATGCGGGCTCGAGGATGGTTCACTTGGTGATGCTAACGATAGTGATGTTGATGATGCTGATGGCGATGATATGGATGATGATGTTGACGACGACGCTGATGATGATGATGCTGATGATGATGACGATGACGATGAGGAGGATGATAATGATAATGATGATGATGATGATGATGATGATGGTGGTGGTGGTGGTGGTGATGATGATGATGATGGTGGTGATGATGATGATGATGATGATGATGATGATGATCACCCCCCTCGGCGGACGGCACGCGCAGCACAGCCCCCGCTCTGGGCAGGGGGAGGCACCCGAGCCCGCGATGCAACCTGGACCCGCACGACAACTGGGAGCACCGGGGCTACCGGGAGCCGCACAGGGACAGCGGCACCCCTTGGGCAAGCCCAAGGGCGCCCAGGGGGCACCACGGGCTTAGGCCCCCTCCTGCCCCTCGCGCCCGACGCAGCGCCCTCGCGCCGCTCGCCCGACGCCGTGGTCTCGCGCCGCTCTCGGGCGCGGCTCCGCCGCAGCCGTCGGCCTGCCAGGTGGGCGGGCTCCCCTAGTACCACGCTCCTCGTTGGGTGGAGGCCATGTCGGAGACGTCGCAGCGATGACGATGACGATGACGATGGCGATGGTGTTGCTGATGATGCCGTTGCTGATGATGCTGGTGGTGGTGATGATAATGGGGATGCTGATGTTGATGATGATGGCGATGGCGATGGCGATGACGATGACGATGATGACGATGAATAAGAAGAAGGTGATGATGCTGATGATGATGCTGATGATGATGATGATGCTGATGATGATGATGATGATGGTGATGGTGATGGTGATGGCAATGGTGATGGTGATATGATGATGATGCAGATGCTGACTATGCCGATGCTGATGAGGATGATGATGATGATGGTGGTGGAGGTACAGTGCTGAGGACGAAGCAGCGAAGGCATCGGTGTTGACGTCTCCACTGTATACCATACATGTGGTACCTTTGTGACTGGTCCTAATTTTGACGACGACGGTAGGGAGGATGGCGATGCCGATGCTGCTGATGGTGACGGCAGTAGTCATGATGACGATGACCGTGACGATGCTGATGGCGACAATGATTATGATGAGCATGATGATGTCGAGTGTGATCGTGACGGTGATCGTGAGGATGGCTGAGCAGTTCTGTTTTGGATGTTTTTCAAGTTTGGCAGAGGATAAGTCTTGTGATGTTGACGGTGCGGATGACCAGGGGGGGCACACATGCGCAGGAACGCGCGCAAGATAATGATGACAGGGAGGAAGGAGGAAGACACCGATGGGTTTCGTGGGAGATGATGATGCGATGTGGGTGGTCGGTCGGTTGGCAGGAGTTGGATGGGGAGTGCAGAAGTGGAGGAGGAGGAGAAGGAGGAGGGGTAGCAGGTTGAGGATTATGATGACACTCAATCTACTATGTGGCTGGGGTGATGCAAGAGGAGGGAGAGGATAACGATGAGGATGAGAAGGAGGAGGAGGTGCAGATTGAGGGATGCTATGAATGAGGAGGAGGGTGAGGAGAAAGAGGAGGAGGATGAGGAGGAGGAGGAGGAGGAGGAGGAGGAACACCAGCTGGAGGTGCTGGGACGTCAGACGGAGAAGGGGCAGGAGGAGGAGTAAGAGGATGAGGATGAGGGTGAGCTGGAGGATGAGGATAGAGATGTGGCGGTGAAGGAGGAGCGGGAGGATCAAGAAGGACAAGGGCACATGAGAAGGATGACCCCTGTGACCTGGGAGAGGTCGTGGGTCTGGACCTGAACAACTTCTGCGATGCGCCTCAATCGCCTGAGGACTCGGCAGAGCATTTGGTTTTCAAGGAGTGCCGCCCCCTCCAAGATGATCGGGAGGATGAGGACGAAGTGGAGGAGGAGGATGAGGAGGAGGAGGAGGAAGAGGAGGGAGGTTGGCAGGTAGGAAGGAGGAGGGAGGGGAGGAAGAGGAGGAGGAGGAGGAGGAGGAGGAGGAGGAGGAGGAGGAGGAGGAGGAGGAGGAGGAAGAAGCGGGACGTATCAGCATAGGTGTTATGTTGTTGGGCGCTTTAGGGTTCTTTCGGGGTCATGGGGGTCCTCTCCAACCTCCGCCCCCGTAACTGAGAGGATGCTGATGATGCTGATGATGATGATGATGATGATGATGATGATGATGATGCTGATGATGATGCTGATGCTGATGGTGATGCTGATGCTGATGCTGATGCTGCTGATGATGATGATGATGCTGATGATGATGATGATGAGGAGGAGGAGGAGGAGGAGGAGGAAGGTAGAGAGAATGATGGTGCATAAGGGGGATGCTATAGGAGGGGGAGAAGGACGAGGAGGGGGAGGAGTAGTCTGCAGTGTGTATCACACCTTCAGAGTATACAGGATGTCCACGGGAGATCTGCTTCGCCTTGCCTTCCGAGCTCGCCTGGCAGTTTCGGAAGCAGCCGTCCCTGGCGTCCTCGGTACATTAGCCCTTGGCTGCTAGCTCCTTATTCCCCTCTCCTCCTGGCCGTGTTCGCTGCGTCTGCATGTCTTTTCTTCCAGGGTGTGGCTTGTCGCTGGCCCGTTGTCGGATGCCCCCCCCCCTCCCCACAGTGGTGCAGCATTGTCTCCTCTGATTGCCGCAACCCGTTTTTCTTAATCTGAGTTTCTCTGACCGCTCTTGTGGCACGGTCACTTCCTCTCCCAATTCTTTCAAGGAGTGCTTCATGACCGATTGCCTCACCGACTGCATCCAAGTCATGAAGAATCGCACCCGCGACGGGCTGGACCTGTTCTTGCAGCGTGCCAAGGATTTCGGGACTGTGCCAGACGCGCGTGCATTCGCGTCCCCCCCTTTCTCCTGCGTAGTGCAAAACGCCCTTTCCCAAGTTCCGCGGCCTTCCAGTCCTGGCCTTCTCCTGTGATGCGTGCCTCCTGCCCGTCATTCATCCTTCACACTCTTCCCCGTCATGCCCAGACCCCCCGGCTTGATTTGTTTGAGTCGGGCCTATGAGTTCTCGATCGTTTCTCGTGTTCGTTTGTCAGGGGGTTCAGGAGTGTCCGTTGGACGCCAGACATAGCAAAACAATTCCAGCGTGTTGTTTGTAGGTCGCCCTGGTAGCTCCGCAAGATGCCCAACTGATTGGAAGTCTAGAAAGCAGTTACGAACATTCTTTCTCAGATCAGTATTCGCTCGCTCTGCAAAGCATGTTTTATCGTTAAAGTTCGAGTGGCCCTCTTCATGGAGCAGAGAAGGTGCAGGAGGAGGTGGGGGGAGGAGGAGGGGAAACGGAGGAACGAGGATCGAGTTGAAAGGGAGTTTTCGTATTTTTTCCCGGGAGGCTTGTCGTCGCCATCGCTGGGCTCCTTTCGATACTATACTCAGGGCGCGCACCACGAGAATCCCAGGGTCCAGGAGAGGATAGCGATGATGATGCTGATGATGATGAGGCGGACTATGATGTGGGCGATGGGGATGCTGATTCGGATGATAATGATTTTGATGATGCCGACGACGATGCTGATGGAGATGGTGATGATGATGGTGATGATGATGGTGATGATCTTGCTGCTGCTGCTGATGCTGATGATGGAGATGGTGATGATGATGGTGATGATGATGGAAATGTTGATGGTTGTGACGATGATGATGACGATGATGATGATGATGATGATGCTGATGATAGTGGTTATGATGCTGATGATGGTATCGCTGGTAATGATGATGAAGGTGATGATGCTGATGATGATGCTGATGATGATGATGATGATGATGCTGATGCTGATGCTGATGATGATGATGATGATGATGATGCTGATGATGATGATGATGATGATGATGATGATGATGATGACAGTGATTACGATGATGATAAGGCTGCTTATGATGATGCTGATGATGATGTTGATGATGCTAATGATGGTGATGGTGTTGCTGCTGGTGCTGCTAATGATGATGATGGCGATGGTGATGGTGATGATGATGATGATGATGATGATGATGATGATGATGATGATGATGATGATATTGCTGATGGTGACGGTGATGGTGATGATGATTATGAAGGTGATGATGATTATGATGCTGATGATGCTGATGGTGGAGATGATGAGGAGGAAGACGACGATGACGACGGTTGTGATGATTTTAATGACGAGGATGACGAGGATGTTGATGGTGCTGATGGATGACAGCGACAATGACGATGACGACGACAATCATGATGATGATGCTGATGTTCCTAATGACGACGATGATGACGACGGTGACGACGATGATGATACTGCTTCTTACGATGATGATGACGATAAGGATGATGACTTGTATGATGATGATGATGATGATGATGATGATGATGATGATGATGATGATGATGATGATGATGATGATGATGATGATGATGATGGTGATGATGATGATGATGATGATGGTGATGGTGATGAGGATGACGATTAATACAATGGTGATGATGCTGATGATGATGAGGAGGAGGAGGAGGAGCAGGAGGAGGAAGAGGAGGCGGAGGATGAGCAGGTGGGGGAGGAGGTGGAGAAGGAGGAGGTCATTGAGGACATCTGTCGCATTAGCTGTCGTCGATCTCTGGGGAGAGGCTCCGCCCCCCACCCCGCTGCACTTCTGGGAGCTGTGCCCGCGCGAACGTGGTCCGTGGTTCTCCTGCGACCCCCACAGTGCGGGGTTGTGAGTTTCAGGGGGGTGAGTGGGACGGGGTCTCCACCCACACGATCCTCCTCGCACGCTTCCCCTCGTACTTCCAGGATCTGGCCTCCAATACTTGCCGCTCGCCTGCCCCCTCGGGGCGCGCACCTGGACGCTGCAACCCCCATTTCTCCTATCCGCAGCTGACATGACGCCGCTCGTTTTGACACTCAGCACGTGCCGTGTTCAACACTACCGCGCTGCGTGTTGGTTCGGCATGCGCCGGCCCGCGTTCTCTGGCGAACGTATCCCGCCGGGCCTTCGTTCTCAGTCTGCGTGTTGAGCTCCGTGTCAATCACGCTGCCTGCTGCGTGCTGCGTACTGGGGCAGCGGAGCTCCTATCTTTTGCACCTCGTCGCGGATCGCAGATCGATCGAACGCCTTTGCGCAGCCGCATCGCTGTCGAACCGAACCCCGCAGCCCAGCCTCTGGCGCTCGCCCTTGGGGGCGCCGCGGCCTCCCGCCGGCGCCGCCTGCGGGCCGAACTCGGCCAGAGCTCGGCCCGGGTCGAGCTCGCCCGGCCGAGGGCTCCGCCTGGCCGAGGGCTCCGCCTGGCCGAGGGCTCCGCCGGGCCGAGGGCTCCGCCGGGCCGAGGGCTCCGCCGGGCCGAGGGCTCCGCCTGGCCGAGGGCTCCGCCGGGCCGAGGGCTCCGCCGGGCCGAGGGCTCCGCCTGGCCGAGGGCTCCGCCTGGCCGAGGGCTCCGCCTGCTGCCCGCGGGGGCGAGCCGGACCGCTGCCCTGCAGTGGCGCGGGGCCGCGGCCGGCGGCGCTCGGGGCGGTCTGCGTGCCGCGGGCGCCGCCCGCGTGCGGGCGGCGCCAGCGCATGGGCGGCCCGTGGGAGCGGCTCTGCGGCCCTCGGGCGCGACCCCGGCAGCAGCAGTGATGCCAGCGGTGCTCAGCGGTGCGGCAGACGGCTCCTGTAGTCTTCGGCCCCTGGGGGCCCTCACCGGGCCCTGGGGCCGTCAAAGAACGGCTCGGGATGAAACAGCTGGTCCTCGGGAAAGGTTCAGGACTTCCGGGGACCGCGTATCGAAGAACATTCAGGAAATCGCATGTTTGGGGCGCACGTTTGGCCGCTCTCTCCGCAGGCCTCCGGGGGCCCCGCAGGCCTCCAGGGGCTTCCTGTTTGAGCCGCCCCAGGCCACGGGGCCGAAGGCTCCAGCTCCGACGGCTCGCGCTGCTTCTCTCTCTCCCTTCCTCTCTCTCTCTCTCTCTGTCTTTCTGTTCCCCCTCGGGGGCTGCGCCTGCGGCGGCGGCGGACCTCCCTCAGCAGGTCCTCGGCCTCCCTTGGTGTCCCGCATATGTGCCGCGCGCACTCTTGCAGTTTTCCTCTTCTTGTTCTTCTGATTCCGACCTATCCGACCACCCTTCGGGTGATACGGAGGTTGTGGGGGGAACCAACGGATGCCAACTGCGATGATTGTGATGGTGACGATGCTGGTGATGCGCCCACGTGGTGGTGACGATGCATGATGGCGATGCTGGTGACGATGCGTGATGGCGATTTTGGCTGTGACGATACATGGCGACCATGCTGGTGATGGGCGGGGCATCATCGGAGCACCATCGGGACACCATCGGGACATCGTCGGGACGCCATCGGGACGCCGTGTGGACACCGTGTGGACATCATCGGGGCACCATGTGGACACCATCGAGGCCCCCCTACGCCACCTCCAGCCAGCCAGCTGGACACCCCCGAGCCACCGCCTGCCAGCCCAGGGGGGAAGCCACATTTGGTCCGATTTCGCCCTGGCAGCGGCGAGCTCATTCCGCTCGCTCGCACACGCAGTTTGGCCTCGCCCGTCCGCGCAAACGACACGAAACCGAAACCGATTTCCCAGTGGTGGTTTCCGATTCACTTTGATCTCGCCCTTGTATATTCCCTCGCCATCCTCGGCCCAGTTCCTCTCATATTGTCAGATCCGTAGCAGCCGCTCTCTGCTCGGCGCATGACGAATAGCCTGGCCTGGTCATTCTGGAGGGGCGCTTCGGGAAAGCAAGGGCCTCCCTGGCGGTCGCCCTTCGCACGCTCTCCTGGATCGCCACCTGCAGTTCGTCATCGAGCACTGTCGCCCAGGCGGGGGGGGCGCGCGGCTGGGAGGAGGGGAGAGGAGGAGAATTGGAGTCGGCTGGGGGACTGAGGTGGTTGGGCATTGGTTCACTAGGTAGGGCGGGGCGAGGTTCGAGGTTGTTGGTTCGAGAAGTTGTTTCCTGGAGCATCTTTTATATGACTTGTGTTTATATTATTGCTTATTATTATTATTATTATTATTATTATTATCATTCTTACCAGTACCAGTATTAGTGTCATTATTATTCTTATTATTATTATCATCATTATTCTAATGATTAGTCTTTTTTTCGTATTATTTAGTATTATTACTATTATAATTAGTGCCATTACTCTTATTATTGTTGTTATCATTATTGTTATACTATAATGATCATTATTATTATCATTATTATTTTTTATTCTTATTATCATTATTATTATTCTTATGATTATCATTGTTATTATTATGAGTATTATAAGTATTATGATTATTATTAGTATGCTTATTATGATCATTCTTATAATGATCATTATTGCCATGATTAGATCTAGTCAGAATGTATTCAGTATGATTCTAGTATTTTTTGCGAGCAGTACCATTATTGTTATTATGAGGTAACTTAGTTTTATTATCATCATCATCATCATCATCATCATCATTATTCTTATTATTATTATTATTATCATTCGAATTCGGCCTCCACGGATCGTTTTCTGGGCCCAGGGCCGTCGACAACGGACAGGAGGGATCTGGCGACCGATTTGAGCGGATTTGGACCCGTTCCCCCTTTTGATCGATGTTCTGGGTCCCCAGCCTATTCGGACCCCCCCCAGCCGCCTCATAGAGGAGAGTGTGGTAGTGCAAAAAGAGCAGCAGCACGGCGGAGGGAGGGCGACGGAGGGGACGGCATCCCGGTGCCTCTCCTCAGGAGTCGACTGCCAAGTCGTTGGTGGTCTTCTCCCACTACCCGACGGACTACTTGACTGGGGCTCCGGATCTCCTCGAGGCTCTGATGGACAACTCCAGGCACAACATCACATATTTCGGCGGCCATCGCCACAGTGCCGACTTTAGCGGCTTCCCGTCGTTCCAATGCCGATTTTGATCTTTGTTGTGAAGAAGTTGTGGGAATGGTAGGATTCGGATGAGGATTGTGAGGAAGGGGCAGGAGGATGGGGATGAGGACAAGGAAGAACATGAGGACAACACGGAAGGGAGGTTGAGGAAGAGGCATAGGAATGGGGCGTGGAGCGGAGATTGTGGTGTGGACTTCTTAATAGCGAGACATGGCTGAATATTTTGGTGGCATATGTGGTGCCCGCTGACAGCAGAGCGTCGCTCGTCCTCGTCGTCGTCGTCGTCGTCGTCGTCGTTTTCTGTCTCTTCCACCTTCTCCTCCCCGTTCTTCCCCAGCGTACTGGCCTTCCGCCCCATCCTTCCCCCCTCCCCCTCCCTCTCCTCCTCGCCCTCCTCCTCCTCCTCCTTCTCCTCCTCCACTTACTCCGTTGCCATTCTGGCTCAAGGTACCCATGCCCCCCAGCGGCAACTTGGATACCGCTAGTCTGCGGCCAGACCCCTGTAAGCGCGCAGCCGTTTGGCCCTGGGCGCGCCCGCGCGCGTTGGCATGCCTGATGAAGGAGGAGTGGCCAAACGTGTCGGCAAGGGCTCCAACGCTGGCGCTCGCAAGAACAAGGCCCGCAACAATGCTGGTCACGCCGTGTCTCATGATGCTCTCCCTGATGCTCAGGTGGAGCCCAGACACCAGCGCGTACCCCGCAAAGACGGACGCAAATTCAGGATGATTTCGAAGCCCGGCCCGGAGCACGATTGCCAAATCGTCCGCGTATGCCCTCGCCAGACATTCTGGCGCGAGCCTTGCGTCGCTTGCGCCTGCTCGCGCCGGAATGTCTGGCGAGGGCATATGCGGACGATGTGGCAATCGTGCTTCCGGCCGGGCTTCGGAAGCTCCCTGAACTTGCGTCCGTCTTTGCGGAGTACGCGCTGGTATCTGGGCTCCACCTGAGCCTCCCCAGAACAGGCTTGCTGCCACTACAGTCGACCTGCAGAGTAAGAATAGGCATCCCTCCCAAGGGTACCCTTGCATCCTTGCTTCCTAGCTCCATCCTTGGATACTTTCGTTGGCCGCGCCCCGCTCGAAACGCTTCGAGATGGGCGTCCAAGGGCCAGGCATCCTTATCGCGCATCCTTACTCTGCGGGTTGACTGGATTCCAGGCGAACTCGGCGGCAGTCGTCCACCAACCAGCTGCGGCGTGCCCTGCTTGGGCGGGCACGCGCGCGTGATTCTCCGCGAAGTGCCTCGGCTTCTGTGCTGGGCCCTGCCCCGGGGTCATCATACCTGCGCGGCGCCACCGCGGGAGTGTTCCAAACGAGCTCTCGCTTGGGGAGAAGTTTTTCTTAACAAATATTATATATACCTATACGACCACCCTTCGGGTGATAAGGAGGTTCGGGGGGGGGAGGAACCAACGTCTCCCTCGATCGGTCTCACTATCGATCTCACTATCGATCTCAGTATCGGTCTCGCTCGATCGATCTCCCTCGATCGATCTCACAATCGATCTCTCAATCGATCTCACTCGATCTCACTCGATCTATCTCACACTCGATCTCACTCGATCATCATCATCAGCATCATCATCATCATCGTCCTCATCATCATCATCATCATCAGCATCACCATCATCATCATCAGCATCAACATCAGCATCAGCATCATCAGCAGCATCATCATCAGCATCACCATCATCATCATCATCATCACCATCATCATCATCATCATCGTCATCATCATCATCATCATCATCATCATCATCATTTCATCATCAACATCATCATCATCATCATAATGCTCCTTCTTATCCCCATCGCGCCCGCTGATTGCAGTCGTCTGCAGCTTCTCGGCCCGATAGCTGCCCCGCTCGCCCCCCACTCCCCTCCCCGCGCGCGCGCGGCCGGGGCGCCAGGGGCCCGCGGGGCCATCGCCGTTCAGGTTTCCTCGACACCTACGCGGCGATCGTCGACTCCGGGTTCGCCACCCCGCGCTGGCCCAAGTCGGTCGGGCCGGCGCCTGTGGCCCGTACGACGAGAGCGAGCGTCGGGGCCGACCGTCCGTTCTGAGCGGTGGTCGGTCGGGCAGGCGCGCCTTTCGGCACCCTGCCTGCCGTGGCCACTGGGCCTTGCTAGCACCGTCGCTGCTCGCTCTTCGGCGGGCGGTGCGGACAGGGCCCATGCCACGTCCTGCCGTTGGCAGGTCTCTCCAGCCTGCACCAGTCTGGTGGTCTTCGGCGCTCTCCACGCCGACTTCGGCGCAAAACTCCTCTCCCTCCTCCTTCGCCTTCTCCCCCTTGGCCTTTGGGGCGGCGGAGCAGGAGGCCCATCTGAGGAGAGGAGTAGGAGGGGGGCCTCACACGCCGCAGCGCCACGCCTTGCGCCGTGGCGCAGCGCCAGCCCTCGTCTCGGGCGTTCAAAGTGCCGCCGCGCCTGGGGTCTCAGCCGCCGCTTCTACGCAAGACTTTCAGCCGCCGCGACAGAGACGCCCGACGGAGGGCACAGTGGCCAAAGGCGCTCCGACGCGCCGCCCAAGGGCTTCAGCCGCCGCGCAAGCCATGCCCGCCATTCCTGCTGCCAGCGAACCCAATGCCAGCGTGTTCAACGCCGAAGCACCAGAGGGGTGCCCTGCGAAGATAACTGCGCTCTTGGGAAGGGAAGTGGTGGACGAGGATCTCTCTTACCTCCCCCCAACTCCTTCTCCTTGCCTCTACTCCGCCACCTGGCTCACCTGTGCCGCTAGGCATGGCGACCACTTTGTGGGCCCCGCCTGCTCCACCGTGGGCGGGGGAGCGTCACTCGCGGGGCACACGGGCTTTGCCGCCGCCTCGGTTTCCTGGCCTTCGGCTGGAGGCATCGCCGCGGCCACTTCTGCCGACGATGCTGCTCGGACCGCCGGGGGCGGATACATTCGCGCACCTCCAGGCTTGGACCCGCTGCCTCCTGGGCCTCCGGTCAGGCAGATTGGGCCGCCTCCGGGCCTTGACGTCTTGGAGGTTGGTTCCCAGAGGCTCAGTGCGGCATGCCCGCGCCGTGGCGCGGCTGCGGCTTGGAGCCCCACGGTCGTCTATCAGGTCCGACCTGGGGCCACGGCGTCAGAGGCCGCGCTTCCTCTACTGAGGACGCCGCCTCCGCCGCCACAGGGTCGCCCCTGGAGCGGTGCGTTGGCCCTGGTGGAGGCGGGGTGCTCCGTCGTCCCTCCTCGGGGTTCTTCGGCGGCCATGTCCGACTGCGGCCTTGACGGGGGTAGTCCCTCCTTTTCGAGGGCGGCGCCGCGGTGTGGCTCGAAAGGGGTTGGTATGCGCCCTGCCAGCGATGCTGATACGGCCCCGCAGGGAGGGGCTCGTACCGCCCCCCCAGCCGCCACCGCAGTCCACCAGCCTGGCACCCCGCCGCGGAGCGGCCCCAGGGCCACCTCGGCCTTACGCGCCGACCTCCACTTGTGGGACCTGCACACGGGCTCCGACACTCAGGGTGTGGATCCGCCGCCAGGCCTCTCCGGCTCCGAAGCAGGCTCACGGGTGCCGCCTTTGGTCGACCTCCGCGCGGCCCTTGCCTCGGATGGGGTGCAGCTGTTTAGCAGCGGGAGTATGCCGTGCACTGCGGCGTCGCCACTTCTGTCCGAGCGCTTCACGGTCGCCGACGGTGACCGCGCGGCCAGCGGAACACCCCTGAGCGCGGACTGGCATCGTGTCTCCGGGGATTCGCCCTCCCAGGCCAGGCATCTGAGGCCACCGTCCGGAGTTGCCGTCCCAGAAGCGGATGTTCATGCGCCGCCGCCGCTCCACCGTAGCGCGGTTGGTCCCGCCTCACTTCGGGCGGGCGCTGCCCGTGGGCGCATGTGGTATGGTGAGCGCGCAGGGCTCCTGCCTTTCACTAACCTCGAGGGCGGTGTCGGCGCGCCAGCTGCCGGAGGGCCACCTCCCCAGTCAAGCGCCCGGGGCGCTTGCACTTGTAACGCAGCGGGCACTCAAGCAGCGGAGTCAACTCCAGGCCTCGTCGGCTCCGCCGCGGGCTCCTCGGGTGAAGGCGTCGCCGCAGCCGCAGCCATTCCAGCGCGGCCCCGACGCCTCTCGTGCGATCGGATCCAGGGCCTCGCCGCGTCGATCCCTGCTCGCGCTCGCGAGCGCCTGCTGGCCGACCCTCGTGGTCTGAGCTCTTCTCCGTCACCACTGGTAGGCATGCGCCCTTCCAGCGATGCTGTTACGGCCCCGCAGGGAGGGGTTCGTGCCGCCGGTGGGAAGTCAGGAGCGGGCTCGTCCACGGCGGCCGCGACGCCCCGGGATGCGGTCCCTGCGTTCTGCTCTGTCCGAGGGGCCGCTTTCGCCACGGGCTCCTCGGGCGAATGCGCCGCCGCAGCCGTTGCCACTCCAGCGCGGCCCCGACGCCTCTCGTGCGATCGGATCCAGGGCCTCGCCGCGTCGATCCCTGCTCGCGCTCGCGAGCGCCTGCGGGCCGACCCTCGTGGTCTGAGCCCTTCTCCGTCCCCACTGGTCGGCATGCGCCCCTCCAGCGATGCTGTTACGGCCCCGCAGGGAGGGGTTCGTGCCGCCGGTGGGACGTCAGGAGCGGGCTCGTCCGCGGCGGCCGCGACTCCCCGGGATGCGGTCCCTGCGTTCCGCTCTGTCCGAGGGGCCGCTTTCGCCGCGGGCTCCTCGGATGAAGGCGTCGCCGCAGTCGCTGCCACTCCAGCGCGGCCCCGACGCCGCTCGGCCTCCACCAACAGCGCTGCCGCACTCCCCGCCTTCAGGCTCCGACGAGTTCGTCGGGTCCGCACTCGGCGTGGAGGACGGCGGGGTCGTCGGGCCGTCGATGGTAGCTGCCGTGCCGCTCACGCTCCAGCCCATGCTGGTGCAGCTGCCTCGTCTTCGGACGCCCTTTCTGGTGCTTCAGAGGCCGCTTCTGGGGCCCCTGTCCAAGGGGGCCGCCGCTCGCGCTTCAATCGGAGCGTGCGCGAGGAAGCGGCAGCAATGTTGCGCTTCGGAAGTGCACCGCCCGTTGTCGTGCCTCCTGCGGCTGGAGCCCCGCCACGGTTTTCAGCTTCAGCCGAAGCTGCGGGGGCCCCGTCGGTAGGCATGTGCTCTGCCGGCGATGCTGGTGCGGCCCCGCAGGAAGGGGCTCGTGCCGCCGACGGGGTCACCGCGGAGGGGGGTGCACGCGCCGCCCAGGCCAGCGGCTACCAAGGCGGAGCCCCCGACGAGCCTCCTCGGCTCCAAGCTGTCGGTGGCCCTGCCATGGACCAAGAGGGCTCCGGGCAGCCCCGAGCCGGCCCCGCCGACCAAGGTGCCTCTTACCCCCAATCTGTTGGAGCCGCCCACGTCGGGCGGGTCGAACGGGGTGCTGGATGTGCTCGGCCGCCGCCGCCGGGGAGGTCTCATCCCGCGGCCGCCGCCCGCCGCTTCTGGACCGAGCGAGGTCGCGATGGTAGGGATGCGCAGGTGCAGCGCGGCTGTTTCGGCGCCGCTGGGCCCCGTGCGTGCCGCCATGGTGATTCTCGCTCGCTCCCAGGCGCTTCCCCCGCTCCTCCTGGCCATCCTGGTCCCAGCGTGGGCGTCGGGGCGCGCCCTGCGCCCTTCGCGCCTTGCCCTTTTCCCAGCACATCCCGTACCAGCACTGGCACTGGCAGGTCTGCGCCTTTCGTGGCCGATCTGTCCGCCTTGCTGCGCCTGTTTCCAGGCGCCAGCATCGACGTCACCCACTGGGCCGCTGCTCTTGCCCAGGTCGGGATGGGGACTCGATGCTCCCTTGCCGCTTTTACCCGCACATCTTTCTGCGCGCTGGAATGGGACGACTCGTACTTGTCGGGGTCGGCTCCCCGCGATCCTTGGCCGTGCCCTCCCTCGCCGCCTCTTCCGCCGCCACCTGGTCACCTTGCGGGTCGCGCGCGGGAGCGCTGGCGTGTGAGGCGCGCCGCCCGCACGTTGTCGCAGCATGCTGTCGTTGCGCTCAACTGGCTCACCTTGGGTCATCCCAGCTTCGCTCCCGCCGAAGCTCGGGTGCGGGAAACGGTCACACCCTGCCAGGAGGGAGTTCGCAGTCGCCTCGAGCGTCTGTGTCGGATCGCAGTTCGCCTTGCCCGTGGTGGCAAGAGCGACCTTGGTCGGGCTTTCGCCAAGTTCGACTCCACCGAAGTCTCGCTCCATGGCCTGGCTACCCATGTTGCAGCTCTTGAGGCTTCGTTCACCTCTTCCTCACAAGTGCCCGCCCCCATGCGGCAACTCCCCGTCAGCGCGACGCCCCTGGCAAGCTCGTTGGCGGCCGCGGCAGGCTGGGACTCCACCCAGGCTGAGCCTTT